CCCATATTTTACTGCAAGAACTTATAAAATTATTTCTTTTTTCACTTTCACTAATACTTCTTACTAAAGATAAAATTTTACTCTCCTGTGTATGCAAGTAAACTATTAGAAACTATTATTTATGCCAGTGCAGACACATATTTGTTACTTTTATAAAGTTACCGCTTATTAAGAAAATGTCATGATTCAAATTTTTTAACTTTTTCTTAACATGTGGACCAACAATCAAGAGTCCTTGATTATTCCAATTAGGAGTAAAATAAGGGGAGGGTGGGGAATGGGACTTTAAGAAGCTTACATTATACAATATAATTCTTAAAGTCATGAATAAAGATAAGCTTTTATTACAAAGTAAACTTAAGTGGTCAGAGTACACAATTTCTCATTTTAATTTTGCTCTTCATATTGAATAAGAAATAATCTGCTTAAGAAACAGAATAATTTCAATATTTATGATGACATCCTTTTAAAAAGAAAACAGTAAATTTCTCTGACATAATCAAATACTTATGTGTACATGGGGGTTTTTCCCCTAGTTGAATTCATGTCACATTCAAATTATCATAAAAGTATCACCTGCTGATTTTCATTATTAGGTAGATACACGTTTTTTATGTCTTATCATAAAGATAACTATCACCTACTATTTTATAACAGCATGCATGAATAGCTCTATTTCAAAATGTTGGTCTCAAAAAGAAAATAACACCTGGCAACTGAAGGAAAACACTTACAAGCCTATAAAAACCATGTTTTATTTAACCTAAAATGTTTTCTTTTCCAGGTAAAAGTAAATCAATATGAAAACTAAATGAAATTTTATATATACATCTATATGTTTTCTATGTAAGTATGTGTGTATACTACAATTTTGAGTTCTGCAACATTATGATTCAATATTTCACTCTGATATATTCCACATATATGCTTACCTTAAAACCACTACACTTTTCCTTCATTTCACTTTGCACTAAAGCACATATACTTTATCTATACATACAGAACTGGAGCACAGGCCAGAGGTGCAGGGGCGGAGAGAGGATACAGGAGAGAGAGTGGGGAGCAGATAAGGCAGATGGATGAAGTACATTGCAGAGGGGAGCAGGGAGTGGGTCAGGAGAGGTCTGCCAGGCCACGTGGAACACACCCCTGCCAGCGATTAAACCTGCACAAAACCCAGCTGAAGGGAGCTTGTTGTGCAGCGTCTTAACCTGTTGCTCCACCAGGGAGGACCTAGGGCTGAGTTTTAAAATGTCTTATTTCACATGTAAACAGTGCCATCTTCTGGCCATTCTATTTGTTTAGTAACATAAAATTCATTATGGATTAGCTCCCATTTTCTTGATAATTTATATGCACCAAGTTACTGAGTTAATCAGTTTCATTAACTGGGCGAGTCTCATGAAATTAACTTTATTCAGTGACCAGTAATTTTTTATTTTTTTAAATTTTCAGCATTTACTTGTAATTATATTGAGATGATAACCACTGTGCTGTCAATTCACACATTTGAATAGAAATATAAATGGGTGCCATGACATAAAACATTTATTCTATGCCTTTTAGGTTGTTATTTGGGTCACCATACCTTATTGTTAGGAGACTTTGTTACTTTACTAGTGCAGATTTGGTTTTAATTAGTCTATATTTGTTTTTTAAAATATAAATATACCACAAGAAGCTTACAGTATGATCAGATATTTTTAGAAGTCTTACAGATATGATGGATTTTAAAACAAGAGTATATTGAAAAATTTTGGAATTACATTCTATTTTCATATCACTCAATTTTTCATCTTTTAAGTTTTACTAAGTATTCGAGAAGTTTGCTTTCTATTAAAGTCAAGTGAATTTATGTACTAGTTTTTTACATGAGTATAATACCCTGCTTTCAGTTCTTCATAGGTAATTGAAATTATTTAACTAATTAAGACATCCTCTGTTACTTCCAGTTAACTATCTTTACCAAAGTCTCACCAGAGTGAGAGAATTAACAATTATAATATGGAAAACTAAAATTAGAAACCCCATATTTACAAACTGATCATTAAAAAAAGCACTTTTTAATGAATTTATACTAAGTCAAAAACTTTCAAAATTTTTAATTAATAAAAGTGTTGAATAACTTTGTAAAGAGGGGGGAAAACACCCTAGATCTTACTACGAAATCTTTTAGTAACTAGATAATGAATATTAGACTATCTAACCATTCTAGATCTCAGTTTCTGCATTTGTAAGATTGTTCAATTAGTCATTAGTTGCCTTTGATTTAAAATTGCATTTGATTCTCCCTTTAGCAATGTTATAAGGATTTCTAGTTTAAACATTCTAATATGGAATTTAGGCTTGTTTATGACACACTGTTTCACTATCATTTATTTGATATCGGTTCATTGCTTCTGCATCTGGCTTGAACTTTTTTCAGGGAAAAAAAATATTTTAAGCATTACTGTGATAAACAAATAGAAGAAGCTCAATTTGGGCAGCCCTTCCTGATATCCTCATAGTTTTTAACACCACCACCTTACATTATAGGCTAAACAGTTTGGATGTACTAGTTGTTGGATGTACTAGTTGTTATAGGCTAAACAGTTTGGATGTATATGTAGCACTAGTTGATTCTTCTCAGCATCAGTCAGCAACTCAATTCTTAGCCCCAAATATCCTCTTTGGATGTACACTTTCTATTCAACCTCTCTGTTTCCAAGTCCAGGTTCTCAGCCTCCTAGACCTACATGAATATGTGTATCATAGTCTTCTGCTTTTCAAAGAAGGTACCTAAGGGTTTGCATATGGCACAGGGGTTAAAAATAGCCCTAAGCTATCCCAGCTACTACACCATGAGTTCCATCTGCAGCCAGAGAGGTGACCTATATGGCTCAGCAGATTTCTCCTGCCTCACCTGCTGCTCCCTTCAGCAGTGCATTTCAGTAGACCTGCCTGTTCTGCTCCCCACTATGCCTCTGGTGAATCCTCTCACCACCCCACCCTGCCCCCCACCTCCACACACACACACCTCTGGCCTTCTGGCCTGCACTCCAATTCTTACATACATAAATAAATCTTTAAACAACAACAACAACAAAAAACACCTGGAACTGAACCTTAAGCCTGGGCAGTCAAAGAAATTTCCTTGATGCAGTAAAATAAGGGGACGGAAAGGGGACTGTCTTCAAAACCTTCACTATTTCTTAAGTCTCCTCATACAGAACACAAACTGCAAGTCCCTCTATACATGGGAAACACATTTTGCTAGACTTTTAAATTTTAGAATCTCCAACTTACATTAACTATTACTGGCATCTTTAATGAAACCAAAGGAAGTTTTCCCTGAAGTGCTGAGTTAACATCAAGTTCACTAGAAGGAATGGTATTTTTCAGATGGAGAAATGTGGGCATCATATTCTATCAGTGATACCAGCACTCTAGCCCTCACCCAAGTTCCTGGTGGAAAGAGTGAGATCTAATTTCTTTGCTCCTTAGCCTCACTTTCCTTGACATCATTGTCTCTCATATTACATATATGGTGGTTTATTTCACTGGGTCCAGTTAGTCAACTACCTATAATACGTAGGTTTTAACTCTTCCAACACACAAAACCTGATCGATAAAACAGAGCTAGGCTGAATTCTTAGATGGCCCCCAAATTCCTGGGCTCCAAGAAGCACATAACCCACCCCTGCTGAGTGTGAGCAGAACCTAAGAATATGGGGGTTAAGGGGGTGGTATTACTTTTGGAGTTAATCAGCATGAATGGGTCTGACCTAATCAGGTGAGTATTCAAGAGGCTCTTGGGCTCCCCTGAACTCAAAGATTGCAAATTTGAGAGAACCAGGTGAAGGGTTACCCTGGGAAAAAAACAAGGCTGGCATCTGTGCAACAGCTGGAAAGACAATAAGGACCTAAAACCAACAAGCACAGTTAACAGTAACCCTTCCAGCAGGCGACTGCGGAGGATCCAAGCTCTTGGGTGAGCTCCTACTGCAGATCCTTTGGTTTCCTGGCGCTGGGATCTAAGGAGGGCACCCAGCTGAGCAGTACAGATTCCTGAAGGGCTGAGTGGGCACACGGGTGTTGTCTGACCACTACTTTGCAGTCATTTCTTAAGCAGCAACAGAAAAACGATCTCTCAAGTATTGCTCCTCCGACTGACACAGAATGTCTCGGAGTTCTGAACGTTCTCAGGCTGCGTTTCACGAGCCAGGCTGCTACGTTTAAGCAAAGGCTCCTTTCATAATTGACAAGGGACATAAGTCATGCGCTATCTCCTTACCCTTTCTCACGCTCACAATTAAAGTCAGATTCTGTGGGAACACCTGCGTGCGGGGCCTTAGAGTCGGAGGGGTCCCCTCAAAGTGGGGGTCTCTCTAGTGAAGTGACCTTATTCCTGTCCAGCCTCCTAAGAGTGAGTTACATCCACTCAGGATACATTGGCAGACGCGCCCTGACTGCCTGGAGACGCCGCTATAAGGAGACTGAACCCAATCAGACGTACACGAGGGGCAGAAAAGCGGACGCGGCTCGTCCCTTGGGCCTCTAACCTACTTTCTCTGGACCATCAATCACCCCAAAAAGAGCTCCCGAAAGTTCGAGCTCGGCTGCAGCGCACGCAGCTGCTTCACAAACTCCACAGTTCACTTGACACCACTGGGAAGCTGGAGGGCGCGGCTGGCGGCCAGTTCCCATCGCTTTCAAAATATCTTTGAAGCTCAGAAACTGTGCGGTGAGTCGCTCAGACTGAGTAGCGGACTCTCGGAAAGCCTCTCACCTCAGCGCCAGCAGGATCAGCGCCACGCCTCGGAGCACAGCGGGACGCCCAGGGTAAGTGTCCTGTCGCGGCGTGGCCACGCCTACTACTACGTAAGCGCGTGCGCCTGCAGCCGGCGTCCCGGGAGGGCAGAGAGGACGGGCGGGCCCCGCTGCGTGGGGCGGGGCTTCATGGGTCGGCTCGTCGCGCCTGCGCGGAGAGCCCCACGGCGTGCTGCGTCGTTACTTTTGAAACGAGTGGCGGGCAAGTGCTGAGGGGATCCCCTTCATTCGCTGCCTAACTGGTGGAAACACGCGCCTTACACGAGAGGCCTAGTCATGGCACTGCAGCACACCCGGGAGCAAGGCATCACCCTCCGCGGGAGCGCCGAAATCGTGGCCGAGTTCTTCTGTAAGTCCTCGCGGGCCCGGGGGCGGGGAGAGCCGAACCCTGGCCGTCCGTCCGTTAGGCCCCGGCGCAGCCTCAGAATCCGGGGAAGTCGGCTGGGCCGCGGCGCCCCGGAATGGAGCCCTCTCTGCCGGGGCCCCCACAGAGGCGCGTGTGAGAGCCCGGGGTTCGCTCGGGGCTCGTGAGGCGGCCGCGGTGTCGCTGAGGCCTGCCCCGCGAGGCCGCCCCTTCGCCGCCGGGTGCGTTTGTTTAAAAACGCGAACCCGCTCGCCCCGTTCCTAACCTTTGATGCCCCTCCCCCCTTTGCCCCCCGGGGACTTAGAACCTCGCGCGACCCAGGTGGGGCCCCGTGGGAATGAATGCACCCCTCAGGTGTTTCTGAGGGTGAGCTCACCCTGGACCAGACTTTGGAAAACGCCGTTCGGGATCAAGCACATAGTAACTAATGGTAGCACCCAGCAAAGGAAGAGCAGAGCATTGCCTGGGGTTTGGGGCCTGCCGGTCAGTTAGTTGCTAATAACTTTGATGCAAAAGCCTGTCTGGACATCTTCTAGCCACAGAATCTGAATTTCGACTCGGATTACAGAGAGGTGAATTGGGCACTGGCAGATGAATGCAGCTGGACATTTGGCACCTACTGCCACATAAATGCGATGTTGCTGGCTTCCTTAGAGCAAGATGTTGAGAGTTTTTTAAAAAGTATATAATAGTTTATTTTTTTTTACATCATTTTGTGCCTTTTCCCATCTCAGATGTAATCCCCGTGGGCTTCCCATCACCAAATCATCCGTGTGCCATCACCATAGTCCTGTGCACTCCCCGACCCCTCCCGTTTTTGATCCCATTCCCCACTCCGCCCCTGTAAAATGTCTCTGGTATATATAGTTGTTCATTATTATTTCTCACCCCCCCCCCCCCGCGGTCCTTTATGCTCCTGCTATGAGTAAAACCATCTGGTATTTTTTTTCTGTCTTATTGCACTAAGCATGATGCCTTCCAGCTCCATCCATGTTGCAAAAGGCATGCGTTTATCTTTTTTGATTGCTGAGTAATAGTCCATTGTGTACCACATTTATTGAGGGTTTTTAGGCTTCTTGGTACCGGCTTAGACATGTTCAATTCATAACATTATTAAAATCATAGCCACCTATACATGTGTTTTGTTTTACGGATTTACAAAGTGGTAATGGCTTTTCTTTAACATTTCTTGCTTTCAGCATTTGGCATCAACAGCATTTTATATCAGCGAGGCATATATCCTTCTGAAACTTTTACTCGCGTGCAGAAGTACGGACTCACCTTGCTTGTCACCACTGATCCTGAACTCATAAAATACCTAAATAATGTGGTGGAACAACTAAAAGGTAATTAGTTGCTGGCAGTAGTTTGAGTTTGGAGGCCTTTCCACATCCACGTGTGTAACATCTTATTTTTAGGCTCTGAAGTGATGTAAAACACACTAGCATCTCACATAGAGTGACTTTCACTTAGAAGGAAGAAAATTGTATCTAAAGCAAAGAAATTCCACCCTTCCCCATCCACATTTTGAGTGGAGATGTTAGTAATGGTGTTGAAGAACAAAACAGTCGATATCATCTCCCCTAGAAATAACTTTTGGAGTTCTTGAGGCTAAACAAAACTAGTTGGAATTCTGCATGATTGTGATAGTGTTGATTATCTGAGAAAAATCCACTCTATAGGTTTTTTGCTATAACCTTTTGCTGTCATCATATTAAAATCAAGGAAAGTAAAATTGTTTTCAACTTGGGAACTATAAATATAACACATCATTTTGTGCATTTTTTCATCTCAGTTGTAATCCCCGTAGGCTTCCCATCACCAAATCACCCATGTGCCATCACCATAGTCCAGTGCATTTCCTTCCCCCCATTGTTTTTGATCCCATTCCTCACTCCACCCCCATAAAATGTCTCTGGCATATAGCTATTCATTATTTTCTAGCCTGGTCCCATATATTTCTGCTATGAGTGAAACCATCTGATATTTTTCCTTTTCTTTCTGACTTATTTCACTAAGCATGATCGTTTTCCAGCTCCATGTTGCTGCAAAAGACATGTGTTTATTTTTTTTTTTTCGGTTGCTGAGTAATATTCCATTGTGTATATGTACCCACATCTGTTTAATCCAGTCATCTACTTTTGGGCATTTGCGCTGTTTCCATGTCTTTCCAGTTGTAAGTAAGCAGCAATAAACATGGGGGTGCAGGTATCTTTTTGAATCAGTGTTTTTGTGTCTTTTGGGTAGATACCTAGGAGTGGGATTGCTGGGTCATATGGAAGCTGCATGTTTAGCAGTTTGAGCAGCCTCCAAACATTTTTCCGTAGTGGTTGTACTAGTTTGCATTCCCACCAGCAGTGCAGGAGAGTTCCTTTTTCTCCACATCCTCACCAACATTTGTTGTTGCTAGTTGTTTGAAGATGTGCCATTCTCGCTGGGTTGAGGTGTTATCTCATTGTGGTTTAATTTGCATCTCCCTTATCACAGTGATGTTGAACATTTTTTCATATGCTTGTTGGCCATCTGCATTTCTTCTCTGGAGAAGTGTCTTTTTGCTCTTCTGCCCATTTTTTGGTGGGGTTGTTTATTTTTGTTGAGTTTCATCAGTTCTATGTATATCTTTATGATCAATTTTATCACTAGTTTTGTTTGAGAAAATTTTTCCCAGTCAGTGGGATGTCTGTTTGTTTTTGTAATGTCTCTTTAACTTGATGTAGTCCCATCTATTTATCCTTTAGTTCACTATCATTGCACTGGGTGCTGTATCTTTAAAGATGTCGCTGACCACTGATTTTTTTTTTTTTTTAAAGATTTATTTATTTATTCATACAGAACTGGGGTACAGGCCAGAGATGTGGAGGGTGAGAGGATTCACCAGAGACAGAGTGGGGAGCAGAACAGGCAGATCGATGAAGTACACTGCTGAGGGGAGCAGCGGGCGGGTCAGGAGAGGTCTGCCACGCCATGTGGTCACCTCCGGGGCAGGCGGGGATCGAACTCATGCGGAAGTGGCTTAAGCTTCTTAGTGCTGTGCTTTAACCCGCTGCGCCACCAGGGAGGGCCACTGCTGACCACTGATTTTTAAAGAAATCCTACTTAAAGTAAATGTGAGCTCTTTCTAGTCTATCCAAATACTTGCCCCCGCCTCAAGAAATTGCTGCATTGTTGGATCAATATTTCCTATTAATTTCCTTTTACCTTTCACGCCAGTAAGGATTCTCTTGATTTTTCTATGTGGTAAGCTACTTTCCCCTCTTAGTTTGGTGTTCCAGAATATAGTGCCATAGCCATCTTTTTGTAAGTTAACAAATGTTTTTTGTTTGAATTCTACCTTTTGAAATTAGAGTCATTGTATTTTTATTAATTTCAGGGCTAAATCACTCATCACCTTTTGCCCATACTCAGATTATTTAGCCTAGAACTAGAACCTCTTTGAAAATGTGGATATATGTGTCTTAATCTTAATTTGATGGAAAAACGAGCCTTTCCTAAACTCATGCTTTTGGGATTGTCTCCTGAGATCACATCAAAGGCATTTCAGATATATCTAGACCTTCTTGTTATACTCTCTTTTTCTTTCAATTAAAGTGGAGGGATTTCTCTTCTTGGAGGCAGATCACATCCCTTTAATCTTGTTAGGGTTTTAACCTTATTCATTTTCATATTTTCAGCATCTGACTTGAATTATTCCCATTATTTTCTGCTCTTTCGAATTTTTAAAGAAAAAAATAATCACCTTTCTGAAATTCTCAAATTATCTTCCAGTCTACTACTTCAGAGCTGTAGAACTAGGGGTTTATTGATTTATGCTGAGACCAACTGGCCACATCCATCAAGGTGCCTGTTTTTGTATTGCCTGCAAGTTAGAAATAGTTTTTACATCTTAAAGAATTGTGTTAAGAGAACTAGGTAGTCCATAAACCTTAAGTATTATGAAATTTTATTTTTGCTAATATTTCTGTGTCTGATTACTAAATATATAATCCCATTTTTCCAGATTAATTCAGCACTCACTCTGAGGCTCTTTTCTCATTATAATCTCTGTAGATCATTTCTGATATATATACAACTTCACTGGTAGCCTTTGTGTAGTTTACATACAAACATAGAAACATAATCTGAGTTTCTCCAAACTCTGGACTCATACCAAAATCCCTGGATTTCTTTATGTGGCTATTCTAAAAATACTGCATCTCATCATATTAACTACATTTAAAATTATCCCTCATCATTTCTCTTCCCTTCAGTGACTATAACAACCATCTAACTAGTGATACAAGCCAGAAAATTGAGAGCAATTCCTGACTCATTCCACTTCCTTAGTCTCTTAGGTAATCCAATAAATTTAAAGTTTTAACTATGAAATCTCTTGAATCTGTATACTCCATCTCTATCGGTTTATCCTACAATTCTTTACCTCTTTCTTGAGTTACTAATTAACTAATGTCCTTAGATCCCCATTTCACTTTCCTGTCACAATGAAAATAATAATTTCAAAACACAAATACAATCAGATGTGCTTGAAACAGTAATGACTTCACTGGTGCTTGTAGTACAGACTTGTTATTCTCACTTTTCCCCAAAAACATGTACAAGTCCTCTTACTGTCCTTGATTACACATCAAAAAAAATTTTTTAATGGAGGTAACATTTGTTTACTAATGGTCAACGAGATTATAATGAGAAAAGGGCCTCAGAGTGAGTGCTGAGTTAATCTGGAAAAATGGGATTATATATTTAGTAATCAAAATTGTATGATTCAGAAGCATAAGCCCACACCTCCTCAATAGATGTTTCCACACCACATGCATACTTTCCCTTTCTTAACTGTTGTATTGGCTTTTCCATAGTCCTCTGGTTAGATGCTCTTCCCATTTGAATGTTAAAGACCAGCATGCACCTTCTTCCCTATCCCTAGCATATTGAGTGATTTTGATTCTTAGAGCTAAACTCACTCTTCGCCTGAGTCAACCACACTGCTCTCTTTCATGCTCACATATATCTCTTTCAAAGCAGTTACAATTACAATTTCACATTCATTGGCAATTACATTAATGCTCATCTCCTACACTTTTTCGTTGAACTAATACAAAGAATTAACTCGTGCTTCCTACTCTCCTCAATACACAGTAGTATAGCTCCCATAAAAACAGAATTTGAGGCCCTCCCTGGTGGCACAGCAGGTTAAAGCACAACACTAAGAAGCCAAAGCCACTTTTGCATGAGTTCAAAATCCACCTGCCCTGGAGGTGAGCACATGGCGCGGCAGACCTCTCCTGACCCGCCCGCTGCTCCCCTCAGCAGTGTACTTCATCAGTTGGCCTGTTCTGCTCCCCACTCTGTCTCTGGTGAAGCCTCTCACTGCCCCTGCACCTCTGGCCTGTACCCAAGTTCTGTATGCATAAATAAATAATCTTTATAAAAAAATTTTTTTTAAACAATGTTGGGTTATTTTTTTTTAAATATTTATGCATATAAGAACTGGAGTACTTGTTTAAATGTGGGAGGTGTGAAAGGATTCACCATAGACAGTGGGAAACAGAACAGGCAAATTGATTGAAATACAGTGCTGAGAGGAGCAGTGGGTGAGACAAGAAAGGTCTGAACCTGTGGGTAGCTCCCTTGCTGGGGATCTGACTTGTGCTCTGTGGCTACAGATAGCTTCATAAGTGCTGCAACTTAATCCCTTGTGCCAGCAGGGAAGCCCAGTATTGGGTTATTCTGGGTGAGGTTTGTTGTGCAAGTGGAAATAGGTATCAGTGTTATTGGTAAGCAGCACCTGGGAGGGGAGTTGCTTTATAATGCCGTGGGCCAACAGGGTGTCTTATTATATGTTGCAGACTGGTTATACAAGTGTTCAGTTCAGAAACTGGTAGTTGTCATCTCAAATATCGACAGTGGTGAAGTCCTTGAAAGATGGCAATTTGATATTGAGTGTGACAAGACTGCAAAAGATGATGGGTAAGTATAAATTAAACCATGTCCCCTTTCCTAAATTTTTTCCGAACCTTTTTTTTTATTAAGTGAATTCTAATTATATCAAATAATTTTATATAAGATACAGTTTGTTTCTGAGATACATTTAATTTGATCTTCAGACTTGTACGGAAAAGATTTGTGCTCAGCTTAGCATATTATTTGTAATTTAGCTTATTACTTGTAGCATATTATTTGTAAAGGTAATATATTGTTAACATAATGACCTTTAGTTTGAATCATTTAATTTCAAACTATTTATAGTGGTATATACAAAACTAAACATGCTGTGCAAAACAGAACATTTAATGAACTCTTTAAAGATAGTTTTAACCATCAGGAATGGTCGTAGACTTTATAGCTTAATATACACTTCTATTGTACTTTAAAAGCCACAGCCTTCCTTAGACACTTGATAAATGGAATTTTCTATATCCCTTGTGTGGAAATGCCCCATCACTATATGTTAAAGTCTACACTGTCCTAGGCTTATTGTAAATTCAGATCCATTTATCAAAATGAAACCTAGTTTACTTCTGAAGCCTTGTCTATTTTAGTAAGTTTTTATTTAATAAAGATAATTTACTTAGAATTTTAAGACTTTATGACAAATTTTAGATACTCCTTTTTTTTTTTTTAATTATGTATACAGAACTAGGGTAAAAGCCAGAGATGCAGGAGCGGTGAGAGGATTCACCAGAGACAGAGTGGGGAGCAGAACAGGCAGATCCATGAAGTACACTGCTGAGGGGAGCAGTGGGCGGGTCAGGAGAGGTCTGCGGCATCATGTGGATCACCTCCTGGGCTGAGGATCGAACTCGCACTGAAGTAACTGCTGCTCTCTTGGAGTGCTGCCTCCTAAGCCACTGTGCCAGCAGGGAGGGCCCCTAGATACCACTTATTTTTTAGAGATATTGGAGTTTTACTAACTTGAAGCAGTTGACAAACTATCTACTCATATGATATTAAGTGATTTGATGTGAAATCAACCCTAAAGGCTGAGTTGAAGATTGGAGGAATTTATAAGATATCTATTATATCTACTAGGTTCTAGATCCTAAGAAAAGACTTATTATACTCATCTTTTAAAAAAAGTTTTATTGACAATTTGATTTTAGAGTCATTTAATTAAATAATTTTACCAGTATTTTAAAGAAGTTATTTAAACCTAGTATGAATTGACTTTTTTGGTTTCTTTGATAGTGCTCCCAGGGAAAAGTCTCAGAAAGCTATCCAAGATGAAATCCGTTCAGTAATCAGGCAGATCACAGCTACGGTGACATTTCTGCCACTCTTGGAAGTTTCTTGTGAGTATTAGAGTTTTGCACTTATGTAAATTTGCTACTGCTTTGAGAAATACCCCTTTTTGAATATTTTTCATAATTATCAGAATAACAAGTAAAGTAAGGGGGGTGCATTATAAAGCAAAAGTAATGGTGTATGCTTTCGAAAAAGCTTAGAGATGCTGAAAAGGATTGAAAATATTCCACAATGCATTTCCCAAGACACCATTGTGGAAACTGATTATAAGAGAAACAAAACCAACATATTAGCTCTCCTGTGGCTTACAAGCATGCTGTGCCCTGTGATTATATAAATTTTGCCCTAGTAGGATTGGTTTTTGATTTTTACAAGAACTTGAATTTTACATAAAATTATCTATGGCCATACCACCCTGAACGCGCCTGATCTTGTCTGCATTTTACATAAAATAATGTGGCAGGACTGCCGTATTTTCTGTGCTAAAGTAAAATGTCATTATGGAAAATAAATTGACTGGTGATTAGAGACCAGGCTAATCTATCTGTTCTAACTGGATGTTTCAAAATGTGAGTGAGGCAAAACAGTAGTTTTACTTTTGGAAAAAATAATGTACATTAATGTTCTTATCTCTGATTTAGGTTCATTTGATCTACTGATTTATACAGACAAAGATTTGGTTGTTCCTGAAAAGTGGGAAGAGTCTGGACCACAGTTCATTACCAATTCTGAGGAAGTCCGCCTTCGTTCGTTTACTACTACAATCCACAAAGTAAATAGCATGGTGGCCTACAAAATTCCTGTTAATGACTGAGGATAAGGACAATAATATGTTTGTAACTCTCGACTGTAGGGTTTTCCTGAAACCAAGTCAACAATAGTTGATGTGTTTTATTTCATTGGTTAATTTTTAGATGGGGAAAACTTAACTGATACTTTTCTGAACTGTGCATAATCTTCCATTTATGGTACCTGTTAGATTTGCTGTAGGGTTGACATAATGGATTTATTGCACACTTCTCAGAAGGGAGATTGCGTCAGGAATGGGGTATTGGCTCCCTTGAAGGTGGTAACTGTAAATGGAAAAGTGTTGGTTATAAAGCTAAATGCCTTCCTTGATCAGACCCATTGGTCAAGTAACTTGACTAAGAACTTAGACAGGGAAATATTTAAATATAAAATAAGTCTGATATTCAGAATATTTGCTTATATCCTAAAAGTAACTAATGCTAATCTGTAAGTAATACAACTTTACTCTTACTAGTTCCTTTTTGAATTATTTGCATAGTTCCCATATTGAAAAAAATTATAATTATTTCTTTTTAATTTATATAAATCGAACCTGAAGAGCTGTGGGTATTTCTGTTGTTTAAATTCCTGTGGTTTGGAACTTTTACAGTGTCTTTGTTTTATAAAATCAGGCTTTAAACGACGAATAAAGCTAAATGTGTATAGTTTAAGCATGTCTTAAAATATTTTTATACTGGTGTGGTATTAATACAGTTAAACAGTAGTTAACAATGCATTCAGCATCACTAATGATTTCTTGTTCCTTGTAAGTGATATGGCCTAAGTTAATAATCCTTGAGGGAATTTCAATTCAGTGGACAGGTTTTGATTTTATTACCCTTTTGTCGATGGTAGACCTTAATGAGCCATCATTATTCATCTACAGTGATAAATGTCTGTTGAAACTTAGTTTAGAAAATGTTGGATTGTAGTCTTTTTATATTCTTAGCTTGTCAGTCTGGCTTGATTTTCTTTTTCTAACATTTATTTCTTTATACATACAAGAACTGGGGTATAGGCCAGAGGATTCACCAAAGTGGGCAACAGAACAGGCAGACTGACCAAAATACACTGCTGAGGGGATCAGTTGGCGAGAAATGAGAGGTCTGTTGTGTGCCATGTGAGTCACTCCCTGACCAAGGCCTGAACTTGTGCTGTAGTGACTTCGGATAGCTTCATAATGCTGTGCTTTTAACCCCTTGCACCACCAGGGAGGCCCCCAGTTTGGCTTTCTATATGTGTATCACAGGCTTATTCCTGTGCCTATACCTTCATTAATAGTCTCATTTGAATGTTCTTTCTGTCCAGAAACTACCTGTTTTACCAAAAGTCAGTTCAAAGCAAACTTCTAACAAGTCTTTTCTAATCTCTACTATAAATCTTGTCATTTTGTAATAATTCAATTTATTAAGAGACTAGAGTAAGATTCCATTTTAAATTCTTTATATGTGTTTTGGTCTAATCTTCTAAGTAAATATATGTGGTCTGTATTCATTCAAAGTTGCTATCTCCCATTTCTGCAGCTATTAATGTGCAGGAGGAGACTCTGCTAAGTGCCAAGATGAATGAAACAAAGTCCTGGCACTTCTGAAACTTGAGGTTTATAAAGCAGAGAAAAATACATGGCAGAAGGCATTGACATAACCAAACAGGTTGTCTTCATTATTTGTTTTTTTTTCCCCTCCTAATCTTAATCTCTTTGATCCTGTTATGGGATTATAAGAATAAAGGGCAATGTTTTATCCCTCTCAGTGCTGAACAACTATATGTCAACTTTCCATAAAAAGCTGTTGAAACTGAGGTCACCTACACCTTCTGAATAAGGAGAGCAGTATGCAGAAATGGAAGCAATTTTGAATTAGATATATTAGTGTTTCTACATTTCCAAAGTAGACAGAGTAGACACTGTAAGTTTAACATGTTTGAATTCTACACTTCACAACCTTTCCACATGAAATACTGAATAATTGAGAAGGAAAACAGCAACAATGGAAATGCAGTGAAAGAAGAGCGTTGATAATTCTGGTCCTATTTTTAAGAAGCATGCTTGAAAATTTATAGCAGCAGTGATTATTTCAGAAAATCTTGAGAGCCTCTTTAATAAACAATGGGAATAATAAAATGTGATCCTTACCCTTCCTCCCCCCAGAACTCCCAGGTTGCATGGTCCTTATCAATTAATGTTAATACTTAAATCTCTCGCCTATGATTTTGTCAAATTAAATAATCCTAATATTTTCATTGTGATTGATTCCTTATGGTACTGACCTTAAGAATTATGTCCAAAATATTAATCTCAGTAATAGAGACTTCTACCATTTAATTTGTTGTATGCTGCTTAACCTGGTACCAGTTCTATAATACATCATTATATTCTTGTTCATTTGCAAAAAATAAAAGCTGGCTTTTGAAAAATTTAGCGACACATTGTTAACTGCATAAGTAATGAAGGGCTAAAAATCAGAGAACAGCTTCAGGGTTCTCTGACAAGATTTTTGACCCTGTATTGCTTTATATGATAAGTGTACTAGTATTCCCAGTGATCTGTCTAAATGTTTCAGCTTAATGGTTTCAAGAAAAGTGACAACCAAGAGCTTTTATTTATTTATTTATTTTAAAGATTTATTTATGTATACAGAACTGAGGTACAGGCCAGAGGTATAGGGGTGGTGAGAGAATTCACCAGAGACAGAGTAGGGAGCAGAACAGGCCGGCTGATGAAGTACACTAGTGAGGGGAGCAGCAGACATGTCAGGAGAGGTCTGCCACGCCATGTGGGTCACCTCTGAGGCAGAGATTGAACTCATGCTGAAGTGGTTTTAGCTTCTTAGTGCTGTGCCTTTTTTTTTTTTTTTAAAGATTTATTTACTTGTGCATACAGAACTGGGGTGCAGGCCAGAGGCTCAGGGGCGGTGAGAGGCTTCACCAGAGATAGAGTGGGGAACAGAACAAGCAGATCGACGAAGTACACTGCTGAGGGGAGCAGCGGGTGGACCAGGAGAGGTCTGCCACACCCTGTGGTCACCTCCGGGGCAGGCGGGAATTGAACTCATGCTGAAGCTGGCTTTAGATTCTCAGTGCTGTGCTTTAACCCACTGTGCCACCGGGGAGGGTCCCCAAGAGCTTTTATTTTAACAGTTTGGGATATAAGACAAATTATTCATGAAAGAGAATTTCAAAATGTATGGATCAGTTTATCCCAATAGAATTAATAGGGTTAGATTGCACTTTTGCATCATTTGCATGTTACTACTTTTTCTTGTGATGTTTCTGAGGTGCTAGTCATGATCTTTTTACCCCTTAGAGATTAAGTGCAAACTAAGAATGTGCTTCTCAGGAATCAAGTAAGGCAAAAATCTATCAACAGCTCAATTTAAAAAGCTTTTCCCTATGATTCAAGTAATCTTGCCCACCCTCTTTCTGAACCTTGAGGCTCCCATAGGAGGGAGCAATTTAATCCAACAGATGAAGCATTTATAACTGACTTCCAGGTATAAATTCAGAAAAAAACAAGATTCTAAGAGTCTGGTGGGCCTCTCGACCTGGTCTGGACTCTGACTCAGTTTTCCTTACCATAGGCAGAGGAATGAAAACATGTTCCAGTTGAGCCCAACAAAGTCTGAAATAGAGCCCCAGAAGGGACTGAACCACAGCTGGTCTTCAGAATCCTTTTCCAGTGTCATCATTTGGAGAAGTCAAAAGGTATAACAATCTCATTTATCAATTAGTTTTTGCTGCATTGCAAGCAACCATAGAACAACATTTTTTCCTCCTGCAAGTCTATAGATCAGCTGAGGTGCTTATCTCAATCTAAAGCAGTCTACAGGCCACATGTTTCTGTTTTGAGGTGGCTAGACAGGACACTGAGCTTCAGAACTTTCATATTTGGACATCACACTTCATAGTGGTAATAAAGGCAAGTGTTAATGACTAAGTCAATCTTAAGTAGGGAGGTACATGGGTGTGTAGAAAATCCTGTTAAATTAGATCCAATAGACTAGAAATTAACACACCTTTCCTGACAATAGTTAAGCCGGCATATGGTCTCTTGTTCCTACTCAAGTGCATACTTGGATCTCAAAAGCCACCTTAGACAATAGGTAGATGAATGATCTTGAAGGTGTTCCAAGGTGTTCCAGTAACAAAAACCAGATGTCATTTTATGGCCAAAGGGTTGTAGTTTGCATACCCTGTAGTGGATCAAACCTCTCCCTAGCTCTGAGCATTTGATTTTGTCATACTTTAAGCTCATTTTAAACAGCTGATAGTATGTCAAAGTAGAAGTCTTTATTTCAATCCCATATTCTCTGAAACACCATTGGCTAGCTAACCTCAGAACATCCCATAGTGAGTTTTGATCAGATAATTTGGGAAGGAAGTTACTTTGGCATATATATCAATAAAGAATTATTTTTAATTACTATATAAATATGCATATATGTTTTATCTTTTGTTTTCATTTAGTTACTTAGTGTTAAAATTTATCCTTATTT